TGGAAGGTTGGTATGAACTCCTTTGATTTCTCAGAAACAGAAGCTTTGGAATCATAGGCAGCAACCAACCCCAAGGCAACGAGATTCATTCACAGAAGCACCAGACAAGGTCCTAGCTGCCAAGCTGTGATGTCAGAGAGAGTGTTAGCCCTGTATCAGCACAGGGAAGAGCATGAGAAGAGGTTACAGAGACAAGTGGCCTGACTCTGGGTTATACACCTGCACTAGGATTCTCCTCAGCTACCTCCTGACTATGTGCTTGCCCACATCGGGTCCCCACCCCCCTGTTCTGCCTGGAGGTTATAACCTCTGCCTCCCAGGGTTGCCATGGGAACAAGAGAGTCTGCAGCCTGTTCTCCTTCCAGATCCCAGCACAGGGCCAGGCACAGATGCTGGTGAGGGCACCATGGCCATGACATGACTAAGCCCTGCACTCAAGCTTAAGAGCCACTTTGCTGTGTACTTTAGAGGGACAAAGGGACGGGCTGCAGAAATGCCCAGGATGTCTCCAGAGCCTCTCTTGAGACTAATCGTGCCCTCACCAGCATGCATCGTGCCATCACTAGCACCCCCCACTCGGGGGCCCCTATACTTCAGTGCTCTCCCTGGTTGGTGCTCAGTGCCAAGCTGACATCTTTATTATATGCCTCACATCCATCATTGGAGGCTGATGAAGAGGAGTTTCACCTTAGCCAAGCCATCCTGGAGGATAACAGGAGGGAAAGAATGAGTCTCCAAGGCCTGGTGTCTGAATATAGGCAAGATGTACTTGAAGGGTTCAAAGCCAGGACAGGATCCTCCAGCTTCAAACAGAACTAGGAACCCATTCCCTAAAGACCCCTAGGGTTGACTAGATTAAGAAATTGGCACAGAAAGTGGATGCAAGGCAGTTCTTTCACTGAGGGTTGTCACAGACGGCAACGGGAAGAAGGCTGAGACACAGGTGGTCTGTGCAGTGGAGCCTATTACTCAACCGATTCCTGACGATACTTCCTCTGCAGTCTCGAGGAACCCACATGATGTGGCTTGTGTCTGCTTCAGCCTCACCATCTGATCCCCACAAAATACTAGGTCACCCCAGAAATGTGGGGCTCAGCCCCTCGACCAGTGTGGCATCCAGGTGGATGCCCAATGGGCTGAGAGGGGCCATTTGGCTTCCCAGCTTGTGAAAGGCACAGTTCCAGGTGGATCCCCTGCACCTGCAGCTCTTGGGGCTGCCAGCCTGTCCTCTGCTCCTGACATAGGCATGCTCGGTCTAGACCTGTAGACCCCACATCTGGACATCTGGCTGTTCTTGCTCCCTGGCCTGTCCCTCACCTTTGTGTCAAGATGAAGAGGACACAATACAATACCTACCTGTGAACCCCAACTTCCCTCTTGCCTTGACCTTCTGTCTCCTTCCTTCCTCCTTTCCACCCCACCTGTCCCTCCCACCCCACCTGCCCTTCCCACCCCCAATCCCTCCCACTCC